AAACACGGGTTGAGTGGAAGTCACATGGTAAGTAACATGTTGACAATGGCGAATTGTGGAAGACATGGGGATGAATCCTAGAGGAGATCAGCCCAGGGAGCAGTTGCCATGCTTAAGGAAAGAGTACAAGGAAACAAAGATGGGGAAGCCCAGGAGCAGCGGATGCTTGGGGGACTCAAGGAGTTGTGAGAGCCCTGCCCAGAGCCCAGGGCGGTGTGCCTTAGTGAGTGAATGACCTGGCTGCCCACACTTGGGCAATGCCTCATCACCAGCTAGGCCTTGCTGCTGCCTTTTTATACCTCTGCTGGCAAGGGGGTGCCCGAGGAAAAGGGAATTCCCTTGGTAAGTAGACTGCAGACCCAAAGCTTCCCACTTCCCGTGAATGACTCATCACTTTGAGAGGTTCTTAACAAAGGACCCTTGATTGGGGTCCCAGAGTACCAGGGAATTAATGCAGGAGCACTTTCCTGCATCTCAGTTCAGAGAAACTTTTTTCCAAACTCATTTCTATTTCTGGCAGTAATTTTTCAGTTTGGGAACTGTAGTTCCAGGCAAAATAAACTATTGTCTCAGGTCTGTATTTTTCCTGAAAAACCATGGCATTTCTATGGAATGTGGAGACAATTTTATGTAAGACTTTGAGAGTGACAATGAAGGACCCAGATCAGTTCTCTGGCCTGACCTGCCTGCCTCTGTCCCAGTAAGGATGATGCAGCTTCCAAAAAAAAGGGGCACAATCCCTCCTGCAAAGGCTGGTGATGTGATTTCTCCTTCTTTCTCCAATTATTGTCCCTGTGTAGCTGGCTCCATTTTAAACAAAGCGATCCCCACATCTGGAGTGCATGGCTCAAACTTGTCTTTTTATTCAACTAAAGAATGCTAATAAAGCTTTCTTTTCAAAGTAGCTGTTTTTAATATGAATACTCATTAGTTATGCAGTTAATAATAATTCAGAGAAGCAAGTATTACACTAAGTCCTAATGGCTTCTTAAATATTACAATCATATTGATATATAAATATAATGCTATTATGACATAATTAATATTAATTTTTAAAATAAATAGTGGACATCATTAAGGAAGGATTTGAATGCCACAGGAGTATCTCTAGCCTGATGCAATCAACAAAGTAATAGTCATAATTTTGAAGACTAGATTCCCTTACTTCAACAAGTGAGTAAAAGACATTCTTCTGATATTATTCTGCTTCCATTAGTTGAGTTTGTCTTATGAGCCCTTCAAAACAGTTTGTAAAATGATAAGTTCAAAAATAAAAGAATTCTGAAGTCATTTCTTTATAAGATGAGCTAATGCACTCATGGTAATCCTAGGAAAATTGATTATTTTCTTGAAGTTGATTAAAATTTAAAAGTCTTATGTTGTATTAAATGGTTATCTCTTAAATTGAGAAATTTACATTCTAGACATTTTGGGAAAGTAATGAAATTTTTCATAACTTGTTGTTGGCTCCTACAGTTAGAAAGTTCCGCTAATATGTAAGGACTGTTCACAGAAGCTTTAGTTTCCTGTTCCATAAAATTGAGCTTCCTCTCTTTACCTTTTGGAACCTAGAATATGATCCTTGAGGATTTTCATGAATACATAAGATTGCTAAGGAAAGGAAATAGTGTAACATGAGAAGACAAAGCAACAGTACCATCAAAGTAGACCCTTGCCTTTTGAGCTTAGCTGTAGAATTTACTAAAATCTGTTTATGGCCTGCATGTCTGGACTATCTTACCATTTAATTTTTTTTTTTTAATTTTTGACAGGCAGAGTTAGAAAGTGAGAGAGAGAGAGAGAGACAGAGAGAAAGGTCTAACTTCTGTTGGTTCATCCCCCCAAATGGCTGTTCCGGCTGGCACACTGTGCTGATCCAAAGCCAGGAGCCAGGTGCCTCCTCCTGGTCTCCTATGCAGGTGCAGGGTCCAAGCACTTGGGCCATCCTCCACTGCCTTCCCGGGCCACAGCAGAGAGCTGGACTGGAAGAGGACTAGAAAGCGGTGCCCCAACTGGGACTAGAACCTGGGGTGCCGGCACCACAGGAGGAGGATTAGCCTAGTGAGCCATGGTGCCAGCCTTACCATTAATCTTTAAAGTACAGGATGTCTTTGAGACACTGTCCTGATGAGCTCATGAGGCAAACTTACATTATAGGTAAATATTATCATTGAGAATGTTCTTCCAACACCCACTCTGTGTATGTTTGAGTGTTAAAGATTTATGAGAATTGCATGATTATTCATTTTTCTGAACAGAAATCTATGTTTCTCCTAATTTGAAAAAAAAACTTTTTTCTTAGAACAAATTAAATACCTATATTAAGGCTTTCCCCTGAAATATTGAATTTTATTTGTGAATATTAAAGTGTAAGCTTTACCTATGATTTATTTATTGTGATAAATACATATGCTATATTTATTTTTCAATGCATATGCATTTAAACCCAGTGGATATGTGGATAATACTATATAAGAATTTCATTTAATGTGGCAAATACATTTTGAAGTAAGCACTTGAACACAGTGAATATAGTAATTGAGAATAATGGAATATAAAGAGAAAACACCATTGAAATAAATTACTACCTTCAAAAGGAAGGATGGACACAGATTGGCTAACTCGTTCATCATTTTTTCATATTCTGGACTTTAGTTGTATGTCAGTGTGATTTTTTTAAGTGAAAAATCCTGGCAACCTTGCCAAATTTGTTATTAGATATAATTTTGAATTATACAACTCTTCATTATAAAACCTTATCATGTTCCATGCAGTACTCTTTTTTCATGTGACATTGTTTTATAGCTAAGTATATAACAGAGCTCTTTCAAAATAAAGGCATTAAAATATAATCAAGTAAGGAACAGTATCTCTAACACTCCAGGCCTTCACTGCCATGAACTTTACCAAGTTTGACATACCTCCTCACACTTAAGTCTTCTGTGTTGTAGAGGAGCCTCTCCCTCAATTGAGGGATAGTATATTCCAGAGTAGAAGGAGTTGGTTGTGTAAGTATATGAGAGAGATGCGAATAGAGAACGGATGTCACTTAATCTAATATAAGAGTTGGAATAAAGTACAACCGTGTTGTGAAAATATGTTTTCAATATGCCATAGACACTTCTCAGATGACATTCCATATTTATTTATGGGACAGCTTGTAAAGTGATTGCCTGGATATTATCACATTTGGCCATTTAAGGAATCTATGAAGCTGGCAATATATAGAAAATAGAGGGATTACAACTGTTAGGTAGCAAACAAAATGACAAGGCTGTTGCCATTTTCATTCCCATAGCTATCACCACACAATAGAGCTGCAGGGCAGATTAATTATGCTGTGTGGCTACTAACAGGGAGTTTAATCATAAAAACATTCTTATTCATGTTTAGTGTTTTGCAGTAGGGAAGATTCCCCTTGATATTGTAATTAATATTAGGTATAAAGTAGGAAAACTTATCTTTAGGAATGCCACAGTACATGCGTAGAAACACACAAAACTTGACTACTCAAAAATACCCATGCACACTACCCAGAAGACAAGATGTGTTTGTGTATTCCTGTGGCAACTTCCCTTCTGTTCACCCCATGTAAGACAGCTCTTTTCTAGAGAGCAGGTACTTGTACGCTTCAGCTACATTGTACAGTGCTTCAAAGTGTGGTCAAGTGAGATTTGAGCAAGGCTTCTTTTGAGTTGAGTCTTGCCAATTTGGATTCTCTATTACTTCCAAAGCTGAGTTGCCAATCCCTTAAGTAACACCAGTGTAGAATTATTATAAATGATTCCAATATCTATCCTGAAAGAAACATGTTCTTACAATCAGGAGAAATGTGTAGTTTCTTCCCACTGGTGTGAAACCATTTCTCTACTTTTACATTCTAATATTGAGATCTCAAAGGGAAGTTCTTTGTGCTATAATTTTTTCTATGCTTTGGGATGGACATATCTATTATTTAATTTAAAGAACAAAACATTTGGATGTGGTGATCATTGCTGGATATCCCAATAATCTATGAGTAGCAATTGTTAATGCATGTACACTTGTGTTACATATGATTGAAAAGAAATATATTTCACTATGTACAACAGTGCTGAGGATTTTCTTTGTATACCATGGCTTCAGCAGAGCAATTTATATATTTCAATGGGTTCTTTGTCAGATCAACACAGCAAGAAATATAAATAATGAATCAGAAAAATGTTCTGAGCATTACAGTTGAACTTTAGAATACCACTCTATGTGGAGGGTGGGACTTATGCCCCAAGATGGAGACCCACCATGGGAACTTCCACCCTCATAGTAAGATGGGCAACAGACTCCACCCCAAGGTGGTGGCCCCCATGACCAACCACATACTACATGGCTGATTAATAGAGCAATGTATATTAAATCATATTTTATTATATTAGCTTGCTACTTTCACCTCTGAGCTGGATTTTATTATGTTAGTTTGTTGTTTTCACCTCTGAATGAGATTTTACAATGTTATTTCCTTATTTTCTCTCTGAGTGTGATTTTATACATTAAGCTCTATAATAGGTATAGTACTGAGATGTCACATTAAGTGTTAAGGTAGATGATCAGAGATATAACTGGGCCAAAGCTTAGCCGTATTTACCTCCTGTCTCCCCAGGTTACAAGGTGATTTTAAAAGAATTTATTTATTTATTTGACAGGTAGAGTTACAAACAGTGAGAGAGTCAGACAGAATGGTCTTCCATCCAATGGTTCACCTCCCAAATGGCCACAACAGCTGGAGCTACACTGATCCAAAGCCAGGAGTCAGGTGCCTCCTCCTGGTCTCCCATGCAGTGCAAGGGCCCAAGCACCTGGGCCATCCTCCATTGCTTTTTCTGGGCCACAGCAGAGAGCTGGACTGGAAGAGGAGCAACCAGGACTAGACCTGGTGTCCATATGGGATGCTGGCTCCGCAGGCAAAGGATTAGCCTAGTGCACCACAGCGCTGGCCCCACAAGGTGATTTAGCTATGGATAGTTCTACATCTGCTCCTTTGGAGACTCCATGACAGATCTACACTTAATAATTGGGAGGCCCTTCGACTAGAAGGATTAAGAAATTATAGCTAATACAATGTATCCATGTAATATGCTTAAGAATAAAATAATTAAGCTCATGAAGACCTGTGTCTGTTTTTATTTTCTCAGGTCCTACAGAGACTGTAAAGCTGTATAGCTCTGCATACATTCCTACAGACTTACTTCTAAGGGTACAGTTTAAAACTTGATATGGGATCGCAAATCCCCTCGGGCTAGATGGTAATGCTAACATCTTAAGTTTTAAAGTGATCCTGTCTATAGGATTAAGTATTAACTTCTAATAGTAAATAAAATTAAAGAGGAGTGAATGCTCCAATATGGGAGGGAGTCCTTACAGCAGACTCATAGAGTGGCAATCTCCTTAAGTAACACTCAGTGACCTCAGAATCACCCCTGAAGGCATTCTGGTCTGGCTAGAAAGCCCACAAGAGCATTTCAGGCATGGAAATCCAGGGCACTCGTGGAAAAAGTGTCCCTATGTGGAGAACCTCTCTGGGTGAGAACCCAGTGGAAAGGAGTGGTCATCAAAGTAGAATGTACTTTTCTCCCGAGGGAGGAGAGGACTTCCACTTTGCTTATGGCCTTGTCTGAATACTGATGGAGTTTGTGAAACTCAAAAGGCTTCCATGGCCTAGGCAGCTTATGTCAAGAGCCTCGGGTGATCACTGATGTCACACATAAGAGTGTTAATTGTTAAATTAACAACAGGAATCACTGTGTACTAACTTCCCATGTAGGACCTCTGTTCTCAAAAGAGCTACAGTATTAACATTAATGGTAAAACTTAACTCCAAAAATTTACTTTGTGCTATTGTGTGATATTATGCATCATAAGTTCTAGTTGTGGCTAAGTGTCAAGCTCCAATGCCTGTATTCTTAGGTATTTATTTAAAGTTTATTAAGTGCCTCAAATGTAAAATCTTGGATACATGTCTTTCTGTGAAATTTCTGTCTCATATGTTTTAACATAGGGTCAGCTATTTAAAGGCAGCTGAGGAGATTTCTGAGAATGATGAAATTCTGTGGAATTTGGATTCCAAGATTTGAATTCCAAGCTTTTGTATACAGCTTTAAAGAGGCCCTGATGCAGACTCTGTACTGAAAAGTGTAGCTACAAAAGTTGTTATGGATTCCAGGATTTGGATTCTAAGCCTTGTGTTTGCTTAAAAAGCCTCTGACATAGACACAATGTGCTGGGCATGGGAGCTACAAAAGCTGTTCCAAGGAATCAAGGAGTTTTTAACAAAAACTCCAACATTAACAATTCCTGAGCAAACCATTCATAAGAAGATTCTCTTCAGATCAGTTTCAGCTTAAATGAAAGGGATCTTACCAGGTGATATTGAGCATGACTACCTCCATTAAATTAGGATTAAACTTCTGCCTCTTAAATATTCACAGGTGAATGCGAAAGACATGCCTGATTATTCCTGTAAGCCAATCAGAGACCTTAGTACCTCTTCAAAGCAATAAGATAAGTAAAGTTTTGCCTTTGTCACATCAAGACTGCTGTACCTTAAGGCAAAAATGCTGTACCTGCATTTCTTCATTATCTCTGGGAACTGTTATTGAGAATAAAGCTACCTAATGAGTTATTCTATTATAATTCTCTATACTCAAGCTAAATGGGTTATAATCTACATAAGGGTAACTTATCACTACCCACTCTCTGGGAATCTGAAAAATATGTTGTTTTCATCTTAAGGGGCACCCCACTTATAATTTTTGTTCCAGTTTTGTTTATGCTAGTCAGCAAACTTTTATGTTTCAGAACTCAACTTCTGGGAGTAACTGACCATGCAGGGGACACAGACATTGGCAATGACCAAGACTGCTCCCACTCACAAAACGAATTTGTTAGATAGGCTATGCGGAGAATTCCAGACCCATAGGCAGAGCCTGCACTATGCCCCCATAAGCAGGAAGCATTTACAGAAGAGATAATTCTACACCTATCAACTTCCCTTAGGATTAAGGGATGAAGTCTCTGAGGGGGAAATGAAGTAGACAGGCATACAGGTTAAAATTGATTAGGCTTGTGAGCTGGAAGACCATGCCTTTGCCACACCCCTGTGTGACCTCATGCCCCTACCTGGCCACATCTGAGCACCCACTGGCCAATCAGGTTAATTAGCCACTCTCCTTTGATAATGGATTAAAAATCTGTGACATAGTGTGTCTATCCCCCCTTTTATTCCTTTTTGTCACCGTGGCCTCTTGCCAGTGGGGGGCTGGCTGTAGCCCTGTGCCTTCAGGGTGTTAGGGTCAGAAAAAGCCCACTGCCCGAGGAACGACTCCAAGAGACTTTTCTCTCATGCAACCAGCAAAGGGTTAAAGATTTATTGATCCAACATGTTGGGGCTCTCTGAACATACAAGGACAGAGGAGCCCCGAGGAACTACAGCATAGGGTTTATAAAGGCAAAAACCGCAAAATCGGGAGGGGGGAGAGAATACACGGTTGCTAAGCGGTTGCTAATATCTTACAATCAGCAATTATGATCTTAAGACATAGACAAATCACATCTTCATTATTAGCTCAGGTAACCCAGGTGCAACCTTTTTATTTTTAAGCTTGAGCAATCATGCTAGGGGGTTTTTGTGCGTTGCCAAGGGTGATGTAGTGCACTGCTATTGTCTGACTATTTGAGATCATAGTTTCAGACCAGTCTCACGGTGTGTGGGGGGGTGCTTTCCCAGAATGGAGTGTCAAGTGCTCCAAAATGGAGTCCCTACTGTCAAGGTGCTACTTCACTCTGTTTTATTTTCACAGCTGCACCAGGAAGGTTTAAACCTGTAAGCTTAAGCTTAACTTTTTACACCCGCACATATACAATTTTAACTCTTCACAGGGCACATGGCCTTCGGGCCAAGCTGCCCTATGCTTCCTGGCCTGGATGCTCTTCCACGTGGCTGGTTCCTGGTACTTGGTGTGAACGCAGATCTATCTCTCTCCTAGAAATAAAGCCCTCACTCTCCTATGCATCTTTCACACTAAATAAAAGCTTAAAATGTAAAAAAAAAATAGAATACCACTCTAAATACTAGTGTCTGATCATTAACATCACTTGTGAAAGAAGTAACCCTATCCTCTTAGACTCATCAAACTTCTCTCTTAACGTGTTCTCACTATCCAACATTGTATGACAGCTTTTGAACACCAGGATTTCATTTTTTTTGAAACAGTAAAGTGTTGCAGTCTTGAGTGTGCTGGAACAGGTTAATAGGGGCTTCAGGTAGCCAGTTGTTAAATTTTCTGGAAGTTCAAGAGCTGTTTGATGTCATCTTAGCTTTCAGCTTTGAAATTCCCTGTGTGCAGGGAACATGTTTCATGGAACGTGGCCAATTGTACAAGTCAGAGCAATTTCCCCATTCTGCACCACACAAATTAGTTTTAAATAAAGAGGATTCTGAAATTTCTTTAGTGAGTGATGATCAAAATTCTAGAAGTGTTTTTATGTATGTACCAAAAAACTTGCATACATTTGACTACATTCATCTGTGACAAATGATGATTCAATTTAAAACATTTAAAATATTTAAACTATAAATCTGAGAGGATTTCAAAGGGTTCATGGAAAATGGAATTAAAGTGTAATTTTATTTTGGGGTACAAAAGATTTGGAGCTATGCATGTTGGAAATCTTTAAAGTTCATGAAAATTGCATATTATTTAAAAAGTGTATATAGTTTTTATTTTATTTATTTATTTATTTTGACAGGCAGAGTGGACAGTGAGAGAGAGAGACAGAGAGAAAGGTCTTTCTTTTGCCGTTGATTCACCCTCCAATGGCCACCGTGGCTGGCACGCTGTGGCCGGTGCACTGCACTGATCCGATGGCAGGAGCCAGGTACTTCTCCTGGTCTCCCATGGGGTGCAGGGCCCAAGTACTTGGGCCATCCTCCACTGCACTCCCTGGACACAGCAGAAAGCTGGCCTGGAAGAGGGGCAACTGGAACAGAATCCGGCGCCCTGACTGGGACTAGAACCCGGTGTGCCGGCGCCGCAAGGCGGAGGATTAGCCTACTGAGCCGCGGCGCCGGCCAAAAGTGTATATAGTTTTAAAAGTTCTTCACACTGACATAAACTTATCTTTTTAAAAAACATTTATTTGAGAGGTAGAGGTGTTTATATCAATATATTTAAATTACACTAGGTAGCAATGACAAACATTCAAGTTTATTTTGTATACAATGATTAACAACAAAATTTCTTTTCATATTTCTCTATAGCTAAGGCTGCTCAGAAAGATATTTTAAATATAGTGAGTTTCAAATGTAGGCTTACTTTCTTCAGATTAGGAAGTTATCATGCATTTAAAATAAATGCTACTGAACATAAATTACAAAGAAAGAGTACTTTTTCAGATTATACTTTTACTTTTTTTTTAAAGATTTATACATTTACTTGAGAAGCAGAGTTACAGAGAGAGAGGTCTTCCATTGCTGGTTCACTCCCCAAATGCCTGTAATGGCTGGAGATGGGCAGATCCGAAGCCAGGAGCTTCTTCCAGGTCTCCCATGCAAGTGCAGAGGCCCAAGCACTTGGGCCATCTTCTGCTGCCTTCCCAGGCCACAGAGAGCTTGATTGGAAGTGGAGCAGCTGGGATATGAACTGGTGTTTTGGGATGCTGGTGCTGCAGAAGGAGACTGTGTCACAACCCCACAAACTTATCTTTTAATTTCATTCTCCCTGAATTATTTGCACACATACATAAAATATATATAAACATTTTTTAGTTTGACTTACTTTGAAAGTAGATGACAATGTCATTAAATTATATTTAAAAACTGACATGCTTCAGTTTGAGGCGTTTTTAGTAACAGAGCTATAAAAAGATATTATGAGAGAAATAAAAGCACTCAGACCTGCTAAAACACTTTTATTTCTTAAAAAGCAAGCATACTTAACCCTAACTGATGGGCCAAAGGAATTGTGAGCACAGCCAAGTTTTTAAAAATATGTATTAGTAGAAAGAGCATCACCTCATTTATAAAATGAATTTTATTTTTTAAGAAAAGAAAGATGCATTTTACTAAATGCTACATGTCAAGTGACAGTGAAGTGATTTAAGTGGAATTAAAATACCAGTAAATGTGTCAGTAAAAATTTCAGTTGAGGGGCCAGCATTTTGGTGCGATAGGTTAGGCTGCCACCTGCAAAGCCTGCATTCCATTTGAAGCCCAGTTTGAGTCATGGCTGCTCTTCTTCCAGTCCAGCTCCCTGCTAATGTGCCTTAGAAAACAGCAAAAGACAGCCCAAGTCCTTGGGTCCTGCCTGCTCCCCACATGGGAAGCTTGGATGGAGTTCCAGGCTCTTAGCTTTGGTCTGGCCCAACCATTGAGGGGAGTGAACCATTTCCTGAGTGAATCAGCAGATGGAAGATGTCTTTTTCCTTATCTTTCCCTCTCTCTATGTCACTCTACCTTTCAAAAAAACTAAGGTAAATCCTTAAAAATTGTTTTCAGTTAATTAAATCTCACTCATGGTACATTTTATTTGATATTGTCAATAGTAAGTGTTATTACTAAACTTATTTTCTCTCTCCCACATCTGTACTTTAAATTCTCTCAATTTTCTGCTTGCAACAATCATGCATGGATTCTATAGATTAGGAATCTGAACTTGAAAAGAGAATTGGCTTAGAAGACCATGGAAGCGGCAAATTGCAATGATTTTCAACTCAAGTCTTCAGGTGTCAAACCTTCTGCAATTTTCCCCAAGTCATTCTTCTTTTCTGAATCTGTAAATGTTTTAAGCAAAAATATGCCCATTACAAACTGATTTTAACCAGAGTTCTGGTTAATCAGTGCAAAACTTTAAAAGCATGTGCGGCTACTAAGATTTATTTTCTACTCTGACAGTTATTGCCATATGAAACAAATGATGTGCTTCACTCGTGTTTCTGTGTGCTGTGTGTATGCAAGGGTAGGGATGCTGGTAAATAACATTTAGGAACAAATCATGTCCCTTTTTGAGAGTGCCAGCTTACATGTTAAGTACAAGAAAAATATACAATCCCAGTTCATTTCCCCCCTCAGTGTAATGAAATGCTATCTTCTATCTAGTATATAATTCTAAAAACTTATCAAATATTTCAAAAGTTATGAGCCATGATATATGACATATGAAAAAATCAAAGTATAGGTTTGGATGGAGTGCCTTGATCCAATACACAATCAGTACCCTTGGATTATCTGCAAGGTGAAATCTTCAGATTCACATAAACTTACTTACATTCACATAAACTTACTCATATGCCATTTGGGAGAAATTAGAAGTAGGTGTAGAAATTTTTTTGTATCTAATCTAAAATTTGGCTTTTAAAAATATATCAGATTTCAGTTAAAGCTACTGTCCTAGAAAATTTGTTTACCATAATATTCAGTTTAGTCTCTGAAATGCATACATAATAACAGAATTAAAATTCCTGTTTAAAATTTTTATTTATTTGTTTATTTGAAAGGTAAAGAGAAAGAGACTTACCATTTGTTGATACACTTACAAATGCCTACAGTAGCCATGGCTGGATCAAACCAAATTCTCAAGTTAGGAATTTAAACTCCATCTCCCATGTAGGAGACAGGGCCCCAAGCACATGGGACTGCCTCCCAGCATAGGAGTCAGAAGAAGCTGAAATTGGAGGCAGCGCCAGGTCTTGAACTCAAGCCCTCCAATATGCAATGTGGGTGTCCCAAGCAGCTTCTTAACTGCTTAACAAAATACCCACTTCATGGTATTATCATTGCTATTTCCCATAAATTGATTTAGCAAAGAAAAAGGTTATGTATCCCAAAGTATTAACCCTTAACGCATGATAGCTTGATAGTACCCCAAGGACTACTATTTATAATTATTTATGGTTAATTTTAGGTGACTTGTATCCAAAACTTGATTGTAAGGTACTTCTAGGTAGGTAGTATATCATATTTATCTGTGTATTTTATAGTACATTGTACAGCAAACTACTCATGATTGTCACATGTCACATACGTCACATATCACACTTTCACCATAGGGTACATGCTATGTGTACACATTTCTAAAAGGGACTATAGTATCAAATGGTATTTAAAAGATACTTTATTTTTGAGTTTCCTATTTCAGCAAGATAGTCAATTCCCCATTCCCACTTTTCCACACACATAAGCCAATCCTATACTCACTGCCTTTCATAGCCTCTTTTGTTCAAGAAATGCACTAGGATCAGTGCCTCTGACCTCACCTTCTCCTTCCTCTTCTAGAAAGGCATTTATGCACCACATGCAAGCCTCTTCTGCTGTTATTCATAATCATTGCTACTGTATCCATTCTGCCTTCACCAGTCTTGTTACCAACCTTCTTTGCTTGTGTACTCTACACAGGCTAGGCCAGCAATTCTTCACATTTTACACTCAGAAATTTGTTGATGATAATTTCATTCCTCTCATAGGATCTCACATTCAGTATGTTTTTTTTTTTGATAAGCAGAGTTAGAGAGAGAGAGAGAGAGAGAATGGTCTTCTTTCCATTGGTTCACCCCCTAGATGGCTGCTATGGCCGGCACGCTGCACCTGTCTAAAGCCAGGAGCAAGGTACTTCCTCCTAGTCTCCCATGTAGGTCCAGGGCCCAAGGACTTGGGCCATCCTCCACTGCCTTCCCAGGCCACAGCAGAGAGCTGGACTGGAAGAGGAGCAACCAGGACAGAATCCAGCACCCCAACTGGGACTAGAACCCGGGGTGCTGGCACCGCAGGCAGAGGATTAGCCTAGTGAGCCACAGCGCTGGCCTCAGTATGTTTTCTAAGTAAATGTCACTTAATGTTTTCTTCTCTCTCTCTCTCCTCCCTCCTGCACACAGCCTCTCCCTACATAAAGTAATAGTAAGAATGATGAAGAAGACAATGGAGATATGATTTACACAGTTTGGGAAGAGGAAGCCTTTCTTTGTCATTTGCATGTTATTTTTCTCAAACATGTTTACATCAGAGCTTCCCTGTTATTTGAGGAAATCATTATGTTGCACAACAAATTGACTTTATTAGAGAGCACTGATTTTCTCTTTGGCTGATTTTACTTTTTTGGAAAGCAAGTACTACTTACTCAATGTGAACAGGATTCTATCTGTGAAGGGTATTTAAGCAGTGTCCTACAAATGGAACTTCTATGATTTTTGACTTCTCATATTGGGGAAGTCCTTTTAGAAAAGCAATCAGAAATGTGTTGCAGAAGATTCACCCAAAGACTATGATCTTTCTTGCCAGTGCGACTGCAATAGGGAATGATCACAAGGCATTTCTTTCCAGCAGCAGATGCAAGCAAACTGCTGTATAATACATGAGCTGGAAACTCAGGTTGTCTCAGATTTTAAGATTATTTTTATATCATTACTTTTATGTATTGTTTATTTTTATAATTTACAGTTTCTACTGTGAAGGCAAGTCAAATAAATAGGTAGATTATTGACTTTTAATCATCCAGAAATAAAAAAGAAATACCTGAGCTATTTGCTTCTCAAACCCTCCAAATGAAGAAAATTATACATCCTAGTAAATAATAAAGGCATAATATTTTAAAGAATGGGCTAAGGAATGTTTTTAGTAAATTTTGTCTTGATTAAAATCATTTAAGAGTACAAGTTATAGTATTTTGTATGTTCTAACATTTAGGCATGATGTGATTCTTCTTAGTAAATCCATGTATCTGTTTACTGGGACTCTTTAAAGGAGAGAAACACACACACACATCCTGACATACATACTCTCACACTCATACACATTCATATACACAGTCACCCATACTTACACACTTACACACACACCCTCACACACACACTCATATACATGCTCACCCATACTTACACAGTCACACACATATCACACGCATACTCTCACAGTCACACATACACACTCACTCATACACACACTCACCCATACACACACTCACTCATACTTAGTCACTCACACACAATTATACTATCTGATATTAGTTAATTGGGCAGACTAGGATTAGTTATATTTCATCAAACTTTCCAAAAAAACCTTTCAGAGGGAAAAAATTCATCTCTGGATGCCACTGGGCCTTGGAAATCATAGCTACACCTTCTGTTTCATTGTGGGCTGGCAGAAAATAACATACAGCTCCTTGTAGGAGCTCAGCTATTTTTCACTGTGAATTAGAACACACTTATCCATTGTGTGAATTCTTTTTTTTTTTTTTGACAGGCAGAGTGGACAGTGAGAGAGAGAGAGACAGAGAGAAAGGTCTTCCTTTGCTGTTGGTTCACCCTCCAATGGCCACCATGGCTGGCATGCTGCAGCTGGTGCACCATGCTGATCCGATGGCAGGAGCCAGGTATTTCTCCTGGTCTCCCATGGGGTGCAGGGCCCAAGGACTTGGGCCATCCTCCACTGCACTCCCAGGCCACAGCAGAGAGCTGGCCTGGAAGAGGGGCAACTGGGACAGAATCCGGCACCCTGATCGGGACTAGAACCCGGTATGCTGGCCCCGCAAGGTGGAGGATTAGCCTAGTGAGCCGCGGCGCCGGCCCCATTGTGTGAATTCTAAACTTCTTACATTTTAGACTGAGCTCCATTTTAAGAACAAATTTTTCCTATTTTTTAAAAATATTTTCTAATTCTTCATTGTATTAAATGTATTATTTCCAAATACTAAGGCCTTAGGCTACAGTCCTCTCTTAAAGGTTAGAGTTTACAATTAATTATTGAATCCTACAATATGCGGGCATTTATCTAAATTATTTACTTAATTTAACCATCTTCACATGAATTCTGGGTTAAAGGTCAGGAAACGAAGGAAGTAGGGTTGAATAAGCAGGTGAGCGGCAGAGGTTGTGCTCTTAACATCAGATGAATGTGGCTTCTTGGGTAACCAAGAGTCTGCTTGTGTGTCTTAGTTATCATAGCAATACTTAAGTTATCATAAAAATACTTAGTATCATAATTAAATAGAGGTATTTTCTAATTCTTCTATTTTTAATTTCAAAGATTTATTTATTTATTTGAAAGGCAGAGCTATATAGAGAGGGAGAGAAACTAGAAAAAGGGTCTTCCATCCACAGGTTTAATCCTTGAATGGCCACAATGGCCAGGGCTGAGCCAGGCTGAATTAAGAAGCCTGATCTCCATCTGGGTCTCCCACATGGCGGCAGGGACCCAAGTTCTTGGCTCTACTGCTTTCCAACAAGCTCCCTGCTAATTCTATTGGGAAAGCAGAAGAATGCAGATGGAGTTCTTGACTCTTGGCTTTGGTTGACCCAGCCCAAGACCTTTGTGGTCATTTGGGGAGTGAACCAGTGGGTGGAGGATCTCTCTCTCTGTCTCTCCTTCTCTATCACTTGCTCTGCCTTTTAAATAAATAAATAATGCTTAAAAATGGAGAATCATTCTGTTCATACTTAGACCTCAAGCCTGTGTGTTAAGAACTTACTAAATTTCATATCTAAAATTGTTTTCTAGAGAGGATTTTGTCCATCTTATTATAATATCGTATGATGAGTGGTTATATACAGTTCATGTTTTGTAAGGAGAAAATTTGACACATCTCCAATTAGGTCATCAGTTGTTTGAAGGCAGATTGGAAAACCAAGGAATGTGTTGCCCATGATGGAGGTGAGAGTATTTTACTGCTTCTGCTCTCCATTTGTCCCAAGACTAGCACAGCACTTGGGAAAGCAGTAACTCAGCCATGATGAATACAGTAAATCACATGATTACATATATTTGAATGAATGAGTTGGTACTAATTTTTTTCAGATCCCAAGAAGGAAATTACAAGTCTGAAGTCAACAGCAAACCCTGGAAGGAAAGGACAGCATTTACCAAGAGCAAATCCAAGGACTAGAAGCAGAATTTGCCCATCACAACTATGTGACTAGACTGAGGAGATACAAGATAGCAGAGAATCTGGATCTCACCAAAAGACAGGTAAAGCTGGGCATTGCCAGGGATTGTTTTCATTGCTTTGGTTCAATAACCCTCTTGTACCATTTTTTAAATATCTGGAATCATTGTTCTTAATTATCAAAAGGAAGAAAGGTGTGCTATTTAATGATTAAGTATTTTTACCCAGCAAAATGAAAAAATCAAAAATCAGTGAGTGATTTTATGGGGGAAAAAACCCTACATTTATTGAGTTTAAAGAAGAATTCTGTGTTCTGCAATAACGTTCTTTCTGTATTTGTTGGTGGTGAGGAGGTGTGTGTGAAAATATTTATTTGACATAATGATGGAATGTGGTGAGGAATTTTGTATCCTTTCAAAATCTCCTATTTGGCATGTTAGAAAGTTGACAACCCCTGAGTAGTTTCCTGTATTGGTCAGAAAAGGGTATGTTATGTTGCGCTAACACATTAGCTTCCAAGCCTCAATGGCATGATACAAAAATGCTCATTTGCTCACTCTCCATACTGAGTCTCCTAAGTCCAGCTTCCAAATAAAAACTCCCAGCATGGTGGCTCTCTGGCATCTCCACACACAATGTCACTGGGAACCGTGGAAGGTGAGAAGTCATTGCGAGTTCATGCACTGGCCCTTGAATGCTTGCATGGCCATGACCCGCATTAATGTTTCAGGTTCAGAAATCGTCAAATGGTGCAACATAGAGGAAATGATGGAATACAAGGGCACGTAGACCACTCATGAATATTTTTGTCCCATTACTCCAAATATTTTTGAAATTGTGCTGGTCTTGGTAATGCAAAATTCTGCTACTAACTCAGAGAACACTTTGGAATTATTAAAAATTTGCGGATCTCAAATAGTAAGACCTAAAGAGTACTATTACATTAATTTTGTATTAATTACTTCCTAGATCCCCTTCTTGAATTTTATTTGGATGACAAATGGTCTCCTCTTATGATGCTCCCAGCACACTCTTTGTAAGGGCTGTGACTTGCCCTGGGAGAATCTAGCCGACTTACGGTTACCAGTTGTTCAGCTTCAGATAAACATTCCTGAAAGTCAAATGCAAAGATCTTTATGGACAGTGCAGTTATTATTGGCACTTGGAGGGCTGGAGTCTCATTTCCTCTTTCACTGTACACACCTCCTCCGGGATCCCACTGGAACCAAGGAAATATCAACAGGGTGCAGACATACGAATGCATATCTTAGGCGAGCAAACTGTTCATCTAATTTCTTAAATCATCTTCTTTCCTCTGTTAATTTTACATCTCAACCCTGTTAGGTTACTTCTGGGTGGGGAAAATGCATACAGGAACACTTTCATGTGTTTTTATACATTGCCAGTTTGTGTTTTATTAATCATGACTAGTACCTAACTTATGGAGCATAACATTTCCTTCCCTTGAACTTCACAAAGTTCCATCTATAAGTGTACAGCTTATGGCATGCAAGAAAGCCTGTTCCAAAATCTATATCATCAGACAATAGTTTCACTATGTTTTAATTTCTAAAAAATTGTTTACTTAAAAATTTATATACTTATTTGAGAGGCAGAGAGAAAGAGAGGGGGCATTTGTTTTATTGTTTTTTAATTTCTAAAAAATTATTATTATTTACTTATTTGAGAGCAGAGAGTGAGAGAGAGAGGGGATACAACTATTGCTTGCTCATACCCCAAGTGCACATGATGATCCTCGGCTCGGGGCTGAAGCTGGGAGCCAAGAATCCAATCCAGGTCTCCCTTGTGAGTAGTAAGGAACTCGTTGACTGAGGCTACCACAGTGGCATCCCAGGATCTATGTTAGCAGGAAGCTGGAGCCAGGAGCTGAGCTGAACCCAGCATGGAATGCAACCAACCAACATCATAACTGCTAGACCAAAACCTATCCTGTGTTTTTCTCTTGTTTAATTATTTTTTAACTGGGAACAGGACAATAGGCAGGGGGAACCACAAATTTCTGTCATTATAGAGAGACAGTGAACTCCAGGAAAGCTAACTGTGTTTTATATAATACATGAAGGAAGATGGAAATTGGAGTTTGCTTCCAGTGTTCGTAATGATGGCTGTAATACTGAGCCTTCAGTGAAGAACAAAGTAGAAACTCTGTGTTTACTAACCTGGGGATCTTGGTTTTCCCCAGCTATCTAGGCATTCAACAGGTTTCACTTTTGTATGAGTGTAATTCCTTTTGAAAAGTAATTCTATAAGCCTAGTTTGAGAGGTTTTGAAGGTATTTGGATATTTTTTCTTTTTTTTCTTAAATGACTTAACACTATTGAAAAATAATGATATGTAAATATGATATATCTACATATGTACACATACATGCACACACAACTTTATTCACTTCTTTGAAGTCCCTTTTCAATGCCATGATCTTAAGCCAATGCTGTATAATAAACCACTCTACACATTGCTGGATCTTAATGGATACTGAGCTGTAATTCACTCACAATCTTGTGCATCAGATTTGGACTGGAATTACTTGGCCAGTTTTATTGCCAGCAGTACCTGCCTTCCTCATGAATCTGCACTTGGCTGATGGGTTGACTATGAGCTGACTGGGCCTCCACTAAAACAATGCATTTCTGTTGCGTGTGTTTCCATCTTCTACCAGGATAGGCTGGAATCCCAATCTTCAGGTGGTTGTAGAAGCATTTCCAGGAGCTCTGAGAGGGAAAGCTGCAACATGCAAGGTTTCTCAAGTCTTTGCTTGGATCATATTTGCTAATTTAGTTTCATTGTCCAGAGAAAGTCATACAATCAAACTCAGTGTGGACAGGAGAAGGAGATTATGTCATTGCCAGACATTCCTAGAATAATCTAAGCATGGCCTTGGTGGAAAAAACAAACAAACAGCAAAACACTTGAGTAATAATTGTGTTTTCAAAGAACTGAACAGTTGATATTATGCAGATTATATTTATTCCACAAATATTTAGGTGCAGTTTTGCAAGATAATATGAAAAGGAGATGAATGTGGGTGGAATGTAAATTCCCAATTAAAAGTAAGTCCTCAGGGTTCCTCAGAAAGAATTCAATTGTTATGCAAAACACTGATTAGAATTCTGAGATTTGCCATTCAGAATTGTGCTTTGTTAGGTAAGTAACAATCTTTTCAAGACACAACATGGAGATTAAAATTGCATGCTCTTTCTTTTCCTTAGAATTCTATATTATAATGCATATGAAAGAGTTCTTAGCATAAAGTACAAAAACCTAACCATCAACCACAGGAGGAAAATCTTTGATATACATGTCAACTAATTATTTTATAATACAAATATACATTGAGCCAGGTGTTAGATGTAAAATATTGTTACATTAAGCTAGAAAAGTAACTTCCTGAACACACAGAAGAGGCAAAAACTGAACTAGTAACAACACTGTGGTCAGCATTGAATGTCACAAGAGAAGAATGACAGGATCATATACGAATATGTTCCTGGTTTCATCAAATGTAAATTTATTCTTATCCTTCTGCACCTGTACAGCATCTTAAGATTCTAAAGGCTTTACTTTTATTCTCTGGGCTGAATTTTACTGTGCTGAACTTATCAGAAGAATTATTGTAGATTTCAACCATCAATTTTTCTATTATTAGTGACCCAAAGATGTATTTCTCCAAAATGCCAGGGCTTTCATCCAGTAAAATATTTTCAATTTATTTTCTGAAGATTGGGCTCTTAAAGTTATAGACATAGAGTTATATACAGAATTCTACCTTCTTAAATTGGGAAGCTGCCTGTCCTAGTCCATTGGGGTTGCCAGAGCAAAATCCCATAGACTGGATGGTTTACAGACAGCATGAACTAGTTGCTCACAGCTGAAGACTGGGATCAAGGTTAAGACACCAGCAGAGTTCCTGTCTGATGAGGGCCTGCTTCTTCCTGGACAGCAACCGTCTCACATGGGTGAGAGGTTTGGCTGAGCTCTCTGGGGCCTGTTCTACAAGGCACCCAGCCCAATCACAAGCGCTCTGCCCACATGAACTAATCACTCTCAAAAGTCCTTATTTTTTCAAAAATAATTTTTTGAAAGGCAGAGAGAGAGAGAGAGGAGAGAGAGAGAGAAGTAGAGAGAGATAGGGTGATCTTCCATCTGCTGGTTCACTCTCCAAATGGTCACAACTGCCTCAGGCTGGTCCAGACTGAAGCGAGGAGTCCAGGACTCCATTTAGGTCTCCTGTGTGGGTGGGTGGCAGAGCCCAAGAACTTGGGCCATCTTCTGCTGCTTTCCCAGGCCCTTCAGCAGGGAGCTGAATTGGAAGTAGAGCAGCTGGGATTTGAACTTGAGCTCATATGGGATGACAGTGTTGCAGGCAGATGCTTAGCCCACTGCACCAGTGTGTGGGTCTCAGACCTCACTTTTAATGTGGTCACTTTCACAGACAGGATTCTAACATTTGGAGTTTGGAAGGTACAAATGTTCAAACTACAGTATAGCTATTCAATTACTTTAATTTTTCACTAATGCCATGCATGCTTATCATGTAATCCTCATCTTGGTCTTGAGTGATACTGTTTTGCAGGATTTCCACATATTAAATGCTCTAACTAAAGGGTGCAAGATCTCTCTCTCTCTCTTGCCTTCTCCATAACTCTGACTTTCAAATAAATTAACAAATCTTTAAAAAATCTAACTACATATATGCATTCTTTTCACTTGCATTCTTCAATGCACACTTTGAAATACTGTGATTTAGTACAGGAACTTACACATACTCACAAAGGAATGTTGTATCAAACCTCATACTGATCAGTGTTTTCCTTCACTTAAATAGGATCCTCTAAATCTAACAAATGCCTGTCTGGACCAACCTGAGGTAGTTGTGACCATTTGGAGAGTGAACCAGCAGATGGAAGATCACCCTATCTCTCTCTACTTCTCTCTCTCTCTCCTCTCTCTCTCTCTCTGCCTTTAAATCTCTAAATCTAACAAATGCCTGTCTTGACTTGTCCAAAGCTTTTCAAGATGTAAGTACAAAGAAATTCTATCCTGCAAATGGAAAAACAATAAG